GGTCCCTGCCGCAGAGTTTGGGGGGTCTGTGCCCTGGGGGATTGAGGTTCCTGTCCCAGGGGTTGGGGGTCCTTGTCCTGGGAGTTTGGAGGTCTCTTCTCTTGGGGTTTGGACATCTCTGCCCTGGGGGTCGGGGGTCCCTGCCGCAGAGTTTGGGGGTCCTTGTCCTGGGAGTTTGGGGGTCTCTTCCCTTGGGGTTTGGGCATCTCTGCCCTGGGGGTCGGGGGTCCCTGCCGCAGAGTTTGGGGGTCTGTGCCCTGGGGGATTGAGGTTCCTGTCCCAGGGGTTGGGGGTCCTTGTCCTGGGAGTTTGGAGGTCTCTTCTCTTGGGGTTTGGACATCTCTGCCCTGGGGGTCGGGGGTCCCTGCCGCAGAGTTTGGGAGACCCTACTGTTGTCCCAAAAGTGGGGTCCGTTGGCAACACTTCCCTGGGGGTTTGGGGGTCCCTTCCCCTGGGTTTTGGGAGTTTCTGTCCTGGGGGGTTTGGGGATCTCTGCCCCGGGTTTGGGGGTCCTTGTCCTGGAGTTTGGGAGACCCGGGGGTTTGGAGTTTCTGTGGGGCTGTAGTTGGAAGGAGCCCAATGCAGGATTAGAGGGGACCCAGTCCTGAGGGGAGGCCCCCCAACCCACCGGGGCCCCTCCTGCAGTGCCCAGTCTGGAATGGGGGTCTCCAGGGAAGCTGCCCCCAGCACTGACACCCCCACCTCCAGAGCTGTCAGCAGGTTTTGGGGTCCAGACTGGGCCCTGGGCTCCCCCCACACCCTCCAGGCACCCACTTACCCCCCTACCCTCACCAGGGTCTTGGGGGGCTGTGGTCCCTCCCCCTTCACCCCTCCTGCCCAAACAACATCACCACTGAACTGGTTTCCCCAACCACTGCAAAGCCCCCGCAGGGACCCCCGTGAGCAGAGGACGGGCAGGAGGGGGTCGCCGAGGAGCTGACCCAAAAAAAGGTCCCTCCTTGGTGGGAGATGGTGCCTGAACACGGCTCATGAATTTTTTTGGGGGAGGTGGAATCTGCATTTCCCGGCTGGATCGACCCCACCGAGCGGATTAGCTGGGCACGCGCTGCACCGAATTCCTCATCAGCTTTAGCTCCCCGAGCTGCCCCAGCCCGGCCAGGGGGGCAGAAACCAGGGGTTTGAAGCAAATTGTGCTCAGCCTGGAGCCCCTGATCCTCCCCGGGTCATCAATATTCATCGTGATGAGGCGCATGGGTTCCAACCCGGGGAGGGATGCGGGGCTTCCGAAGGAGGAATGATGTTCATGTCCTTGATTATCCGTTCCCATTGTGGCCGCCGCTCCCTTCCCTGCTGTAAATCCTCTGGTGAAGTTTCATGCTCCAGTTTTCCATCCACAGGGAAAGGAGAAGAGAGATCCACAACCCCACGGGTTTCCAAAGGGCCCCTCTCCAAAACCTGTCAGATCCGGGATGCTGAGAACACAGCACAGGGGATTTGCATCCTTTTTGCTTCAAACCAGACCTGGACCTAGTTTTTAAAGCTGATGTGGGGCTCAGAAAGGCATCAAATACCCCCCCTGGCACTTTGGGTCCTGCCTCTGCTTTCCATGGGATTTGGGAAATGCTATTTTTACACTCGCCTTCCAAATTTCTGCTGTATTTTTAAGCAGCCTCGTGCAGACTTTTCCCACTCCAGCCCTGGAGACCCGTGTCAAGATCAGCCATGCATGAGCTGCCACTCCAGTTGGCTG